TTCCTTTTTACTTTCTAGAACAAAGTTTTGCTAATTTTAAATAATTACCCATTTATATTTTCTATAAAAATGGACAAATTATTTAGACTATATATAATATCGAATTTCATATGTTCATCTTATCAAAATTTTGTATAAGTTGAGATAATTCACTATGTAATGCATGTGATGAAGAATTTTTATTATCGAGTTGTTGTTTCGATAATTGGACATTTAAATTATAATCGCCAGTTTGAGCAAGGTTAGTGTTTTTAGCAATAGCTTTTAATTTACCAACTGCTTCAACTACTTTACTCATATCTGGACGATTATCTGGTTCATTATTCCAACATTCTAAAAAAATAAACTGAATGGTCAAAAAATATTGTTATAATTATAATTGAATTTAATAAATATATTTACCAGTATAAATTTTTACATAATCTTCGGGAGTATCAGGAATAATCTCTTCTCTGAGACCTTTCGAAATACTATTCATTAGGTCGAAATCATATTTTTCAATATAAAAAGGAGCATGTCCACTTGATATCTCCCATAAAAGCACACCAACACCGTAGACATCACTTTTTTCGTTTAGTTTATATGATTGAGATGAGTTAAACTTTTTTGGGTCAATATAGGGAATCATACCAAAATCCTTTTCTGATTCAGTTTCTTCGATTCTTTTTGATAACCCAAAATCCGCCAGTTTTATACAATTCCGATGAACTAATATATTGTTGGAGTGCTATTTATTTATATAAAAATTGTTAATTTTTTTACAATATTTTTAATAAAACCACATAAAATTATTTACCAAATCACGATGCACAATTCCTTCATCATGTAAGCATGATACAGCACTGGCCAATTGAAATGCCAAATCGTATTTATCATTCCAGGTAAGCTCATTAAAGATTTTCTTTAAATGGTTTCGAAGAGTACCTCCATCAGCATATTCCATTACTAACAAATACTTTGGACGATCATTTTGATTCTCTAATTAAAAATAAAACCTTTGGTTACAACATTTTACTTTAAATTTTAAAGTTTCAATAGTAATTATTATTATACCTAGATCGGAAGTTATGCCATAAAAGCGAATAATGTTATCATGAAAATCAACTTCTCGTTGAAGTTTAATCTAATACATGAATAATGAAACATAAAAATTATCCATGTGATATATTACGATTGACTCCCCAGGATCACCATCAAAAATCCTCGGGCACGTGATTATAACAAAATATTTGTCACTTCGTATCACACCCCTCAAGTTTTCCGTTTTTACTATTTATTCAGGGCAAAATATTATTTGTCACACATCTGTCGGATTTTTGATAAGGTCATTTACTATTTTTAAATGACCTTTGGTCATTTTGACTTGAAATTTATAATAAAAAGGATGTCATTTGAAGTCATTTAAGGTCATTTCAAGCATTTCAAGGTCATTTGCCAACACTGAAGCTCACAATACATGAACGTATATAAGTTTATATGTCCAATTCCAAACCTGACTACTACTATACCTCGTGAATGATTTCTTCAACTGTGACCATATTGGAATTAAAAGATTTCAATGCAAAATCTTTATGTAAACTTTTCCAATTTGCACGATAGACTTCTCCAAAACCTCCGCTTCCAACCTTTCGAAAATTACAAAAAGAGTCGTAGTCGTAATGCTTAATATGACTTTTAAAAATAGCCTCTTCAATCCAGTCATCTAAAGGATCAGGTATTTGTAACGGATTATGCGAAGGATTATTATGTTCCATAGCTTTATCTTGAATTAAAAAGCATAATTTGAAATTTTTAGAAAATTATTTTTTGAAGGGTTTATATATTCTTTTTTGTTCTATTTTAGAATATCCTTAATATAACATATAGATGTTTCATCAAAAAAATCTGTCAATCATATTTTTATTTCAATAAAGATTTTGTGGCATTTTAAAAAAAAAAAATTTCTTTTGTAAGTTTTTAACTAGCCACACTGCAAGATTTTATATTTCAATAAAGATTTTGTGGCACTTTAAAAATACAGTGGCTTCCAAAATGGGGCGGATATGCAAATCTTTACTTTTAAGTTTCAGTTTTTTTGTCAACATAAAAAAAAAAAATTTAGAGTAGTTTTTAATTATATAGATTATATAAATATAACTGATAAATACCTTTATTTTTTTTTTTCGGTATGTTGCATTAATTTGTTCGCACTCTAAAAATTTGTAACACATTGATTTACTAACAATGGGATTCCAATTCATTCCATTCCTAGTTTTTATTGTCCTCTTCTGCATTCCAGTTCTAGCTGACTCTCCATCACAGAATAAATCAAAATCACAGAGTTTATATATAAGGAAGTTCACAGTTTTTGATATCTTTAGATTGGTGTCAAATCGAGAAAATGTTACCTTTGACAATTAAGAAATAGAAATGGAAGAATTTGTCTTGGAAAATAATCGTTTCAGAATAAGAACTTTTAATTTGCATATAACAAAAGAACAGAAAAATATAATAATTATACATTACATTTCAAGTATTTCAAATTAAATGTATTTTTACAATAAATTTATTAAAATTTTTTTAACTTGAATAATAAAAAATATTTTATTATCTGTGAAAATGTTTGCAAGAAATTTTTATTGTCAAGTTATAAAATAGATAATCATACTAAATTTGTTGAAATATTTGACAGGATAGATGGCAGATTTTTTTTATACTAAAATCAGAAATCAAAGTGAAAATAAGAATCAAATGAATGAAAACAAAAGTCAAGCAAAAATAAAAGGACCAAATAAAAATGAAATGAAAGATCAAAAAGAAATCTGAAAACAAAATATAACTGAAATTGAAAGTAGAAATAAGCAAGAACCAGGAAGTACACATGATTTTTTTGAACACACTCACCCAAGTTATTACTTGGTAATATTCTATCCCAATAATAACTATTAAAAAAAAAAAAATTAATAATTTTGTATAATAAAATAAACCATTTTTATTGTAATAATAGTAATTTTACTTAAAAAGCCCTTTCTTTTTTTTTAAAAAAAACTTTTAATTGTTTTTTATTATCAGTAATTGTTTAAAACGTCAAAAATATTTTTAAATTTACAAATATCCTTAATTAAATATTACCACGAAGATAGAAAAATACTCATTATATAACTATGCTAAAACATTGGATCATATGAGTTCAAAGTATACGTCTATAAAGTTTCGTTATTAGTTAATTAGAAATTTTGGCAGGTTGTTATAAGACCAATTGATATTTAATTGAATTCTATTGTAAAACGTCAAATTTAGAATGACCCTATGATCATTTTACTTTAAATTTCAATATTCTTAAATAATAATTATACCTATATCGGAAGTTATGCATAAAGGCGAATAATATTATCATGAAAATCAACTTCTCGTAGAATTTTGATCTAAAACATAAGTTTTATTATAGTTCTGTGATCACTTGATACGAGTTCATCGATCCATAATGTGATTTTTGTTACACATCGTTGGGTGACATTGATGTTATATTTACCTTGTGAACAAAGAATTCCAATTTGCACGATAGACAATCTTTCGAAAATTACTATATTGTTGTAATCATATTTAATGACTTTTAAAAATAGCCTCTTCAATCCAGTTATGCGAAGGAATTTTATGTTTCATAAAAAAAAAAAGCGTTAAGATTTAATGTTTACAATTTCTTTTTTATTTTGATGGGTTTATATATAAGATTTAAAACGTCAAATGTTGTAAGTTTTGGAATAGTCGCATTTTTTTTTGCAAAAATGCGCTTTGCAATAGAAAAAAAAAGGAGGAAACTGCCGGGAAATTAATCCTTAATCTGAACATCTGGGACCTTTGCAATGGAAACTGCCGGAAAAATCAATTTTACTTATATATGCCAAATTTTGCATTAATTGTCAAAGACCCATAAATACGGTAAGTGTAACAAATATATAGGGATGACATTCTTCGGGAAAAATGACTTTTAACAGGTTTAATGTCATAAATAGATTGCCCAAAAAAGAAAATTCACTAGTATCCCTAAAATCTGCCGTAGCACAATCTGTGTGTTATTTTATGAAAATAAGAAGCACAAATATTAACAAAAATGATGCGGTGCAAGTAAAAAAAAAAAATGAAGACACAAAATTCTGTAGTGAAATTGTCTAGTTTGTCCAGCGATGTATTTTTCGAACTACAAATGTCTTGTTCAAGAAAAAAAATCATTGGGGCGGTTGTACGATGATTTGGATTTTCCCCGTTGGAGGTTGATCACTAAGATAGTAGTTAAGCAGGAATTGAGGTTTCATTTTCTCGCCTCCAAGTTTTTGTACAATATCTTCTTCGGTAGAAATATCTTCAACTCGACATTAACATTCCAAAGATTCAGACCGGAAGAGTCGTTAGTAAGGTTTTAAGGATATATATTCCATTCCCAGATATACCTCTTGAAGAAATCAATTTTTAACGATTTTAAGATTTTTTCATCATCTCTAATAAAAACTTTTTCGCTAAGAAAGAAGCTCCATTACCCAGTACGAAACAATTTAAAATCATTTTGGCTAAATATCTGCAATTGCGAACATAGAGAGTAAAAACAAGGTTCAAAAATTAATTTTACAGTAAAAAAAGAACGATTTAGCCCGACAGATAAGGAATTTTTATTAAAAAGCCTTTTCGTTTTATAATTTTAGTGACATCGATTAAAGACGCCATGACAGATTTTGGAGGGAATTCATATGGCAATCATGGTAGACAATGTTAAGCCCAATTCCACTATAAACAACGTAACTTTAAGCAAGCTATTGATGTGATTGACGAAAATTTTGGATAAACAAAAAGCTACAAATACCACAGCAAAGACAAACTATCGAATCCTCCTATTTGGTAGGGCACCTGGCGTAATACATACTCTGGTATGTTTTTACAGCAGATAATGCGGCTTTGAGCCTTCTAATTAGCAATTCGAATTTTAATTGATCAGGAAAACACGTTATTGAATTGTTCAATAATCTCGATAAAGAATGAATGATACAGAGTTCGAAATTCAGGGAGATATGCAAATTGCATTAGAAACATTCTTGGGTTGCGGTTGGCATACCACTATTGTCAGACAAAAATGTGATAGATTTTAGAATTTTCCGTACTAGAGCTAATTCAAATAAGCAACTTTTCCTGTTGAGTGAAGTCCTCTGTTGCATTCACAACCTTAAATATGGAAATCATTCAACCTGGCCAGCATCTTTTCATTTTTTTCAAGTTGATGAGTTTCAGCTTATTTTCAAAGATCGAAATGAGGATAAATTATTAAAACAGTTAATGTATGCTCTTGGGCATCATATGACCGGAATAATTCCTAATATATTACTCTCAGCTGCACAGGACGCGATACGAGCAATGGAACCTATAATGTATTCTTGTAAACCTCTTGATCTTCCACTACTGTCCTTGGAGCACAACTTGATATCATGAGAGAATTTGCAACTAATCACGATTATTCTGATTACCGTAAATTTAGATACATCAATTACTTCTTGATACAGGTGGTCTTCCACGTGTCTTGGAGTATCTTTTTATAGGCGAGAATTTACAAATGTTAAGGAATTTTTTGAAAGTCTTAGTAAAAAGAACCCATCAAGAATTTACACCCAAATTTCAATCAAGCTTGATAATGCATACAAAATCAGCGCTTATGCCAACGATCATAAAATGCTCATATGCGAGCTTATTTACAGAAATATTATGGAAATCAAATCAAATATTTCTAATGATCTGCAAGATGGTGACTCTACTATAAAATTTGAACATTTGAAGCGTGATAAGCATTTGATACTAAGGAAATTGGAAACAGTACGTGGGCGTAGGAATTTTAATTAAACGATCTTGGACGATTTACATGCAAAAAACTTTCTTGGAAAGCGACCGTTTCTTTTATATAGATCTTTACCTTAAAGTGCTAATTGATATTTCTTGTATATTTACGCAGTTATCCTTGGCATTTTCTCAAAAAAAAACTAGTCAGCATTTTTATCTGATGCAGATTGGTCATGGGTGAATTGGAAATATTTATTGCTGACTTTATAGCATCATACATCGCTATGATTGATATGTTAAACAAGAATTATAGATGAGGGACGAAACCTCTTAATAATAGTCTAAACTCAGAAGAAACTATATTAAAATCATAATAAGGGATACGACGAAAGCCGAAATTGTCGAAACTATATTAAAAACATAGAAATGGGTATGACGAAATTATTTTGAGGAGGTTTCGGAGTCATCTATAACAAGAATAAATCATTAAGACTTAAGGATTCCTTTCGTGGTTTCACAGAATAACGATATTACAATGGACTTGATAAATTTCTAACCTGTTGAAGTCTATACATTAAAGCATCAATTTCCATGATGATCAATGGTTATTCAGCAGATGTCTTTTTTATATCAAATAACCCGAGTCCATTCTTATTGCTATTCAATGAAAATTTCCTTGATTTGAAAACAATCGGAGAAGAGCATAACAAAAATGTGAATATTGCTAGTAAAATGAGAGACAAGGCCAAAAAAAATCAGTAAATATGCCAAAGCGAGTAAAGAGCAGAAAGGAAAATTACAAAATGAGGCATAACTTGCTGATCTTTTGAGCAAATACCGTATAATTACAATTTTTTATTACAACTCAGCGGTTTAGTGAGGAATTGGAAAACATTCCTAAGGATTGTATTCTAATTCATCAAGAAAACTTTGATGCCTTCTTCGGACTTGTATTTTCCTCTCGTACCAAGATTTTAAATACCAGAGATTCAAACCAAAATTGAGTACTGCGAGTGAATTTACATCAAGATTTAAAGCAATTAAAGAGAGAATTGAAGAAGCTAGGAAGTGAAAGACTTTTAGTCGCACGAATAGTATTTCTAGAATTGGCTGATAATGATGTGATTTTATTTACTACCCATACCCTCCCTCCACATATCTGAATGATCATATCTACACGATATTTGTGAAACATTTATTTTTCATATGGTGATTAAAAAAATATAAAGCTTTCAAGGAAGGGAGTACGCGAATCCTAGGCCATATAATGCGAGTTCCTGCGTCATATTATTTCGCATTACTACCTAAATTATTCTTAATATTAATTTTTTCTTTGCTATCTATTATTGCTATCAACTATATAACATTTCATGTCCAAATTTTTTTATCACGTGAAATAATTGGTTAGCGACATTGGTGAAATAACTATTACATATTCCCCAAGTTTTGCTAATCATCACATTTTTTTTCTATAAAAATTAATAATGACATGCCGATCCGTGGGAAAAAAAAAAATTAATATATATTGGCTCGATTCCTCTCAAATTCTATTAAAATCACAATTGATTTCTTCCCCCCAAAAAATGAACCCAAGTCAGAATCCGACCGTTAACCTAAAACCAAATGATAAACCAATGCCACTGGTTGGTCTTGGTTTATGGAAAGTACCAAAAGATAAAGCGTCCGAGATAGTTTTTGAAGCTATTAAAATAGGATATCGATTATTGGATAGTGCTTCGGATTATGGAAATGAAAGAGAAGTTGGTGAAGGAATTAAAAAGGCCTTTGATGCGGGAATTGTAAAACGTGAGGTATGATATGTAGAAACAAATTTCTAACTTAACTTTCTTGACAACTTCTAAAACCAAATTTTTTTTTTTACTATATATTAGGACATTTTCATTACATCTAAAGTAAGTAAATTTTTCACTCGAATTTTTCGGACAGTACTCTAAAATATGAGGTGTCCCGTTAACCTAATCGATCCATCTCCTTAATTTACTATAGCTTTGGAATACGAATCATAAACGTGAACACGTTCGTCCAGCCGTTGAACGTACTCTAAAAGATCTTGGTCTTACATATTTGGACTTATATTTGATACATTTTCCAATTTCTTTGAAATATGTTGATCCGAATGTAAGGTATCCTGCTGAATGGTCTTACGAACCGGATAAACAACTTATTATACAAGAACCTGTTCCATTTAGAGAAACTTGGGAAGCTATGGAAGAATTGATGGATGCCGGTTTAGTCAAGGTAATAAGTAAATTCGATCAGACGTGATTAAAATATGGTTAAAACTTACCTTTCATCATATCTTGTATATTATAATTTCACTTTAGAATATTGGAATTTCAAATACTTGCGCGGCATTAATTCAAGATCTCCTTAAATATGCTAGGATTAGGCCATCAGTTTTACAAATAGAACATAGCCCATATTTAACTCAAGAAAGGCTTGTAAATTATGCTAAATCAGAAGGCATGGCTATTACGGGTTACTCTACTTTTAGTAATATAAGTTACATCGGTTTAGATATTGGTGATGCTAACAATGCTCCAAAACTTTTCGAACAACCAACTATTAAAGAGATATCTTCTAATTATGGGAAAACCCCTGCTCAGGTAACGTAAATATTTCTTATCTTTTATTAAACATTCTACATCTATACGAATAAATTTATTTTTGGATTTATTTTTTTTTTTTAGATCGTACTTAAATGGGCTATACAACGTGAAATCGCTGTTATACCAAAATCTTCAAATCATGATCGTCTTTTAGAAAATAGAAATTTATTTGATTTTGAATTAACTCAAGAAGAGTTACATAAAATATCTTCTTTGAATCGTAATTTAAGATTCAATGATCCTGGTGAATATGCCAACATACCAATCTTTGATTAAAAAAAAAATTATATTGTGGGCGTTTATTGGTATTTTACAGAAATCATTTCAAAGAAATAATCTGTAATATCTGATTAGCTTTTATTTAATATTATAAGTATGACATAACCACTTTATATATACGTTTAATAAATTCAAGAAATCATTAATTCGTTTCTCAATTATTACATTAAATGTGATTCGATAAAACTTTTCACGCAAAAATCATTTTATTGATTAGTTATAAAGAGAAATATATATAAAGAATAAAAAAAATCTACAACTTTTTTTATCCGTTAAAATAATGTGATTAATTCTGACACGATAATAAATATGAATGGCTTAATTGCGAGCCCTCAGTAGGATCGACCAAAGAAGTGGTGTTTGGCGATAAATATGTCGACCTTAACCGACCTCAAACCAATATCAATGTTCATTATGGCCCCAATTCTACAACTTTTGTCTCATCTAGCAGAATGCTCTTGCTTTGTTGAACGTTTGATTTGCACTTGTCATTGTGTTTCCAATCTTTGCTTACTACTACAATCTCCAGTTTTTGATACAACATCCTTCATTCTCTCGTTTTTAATGAATTACTTGTGAATTATCTTATCATCAAGTATAAAAAAAAAAAAATAATATAAAATTATCTGAAACTGGCCGCCATCAAAGAGAGAAAAAACTATCCTAGAACGTAAATAATATAAGGGTTGAAATAACTTTAATTCAATTCTTAACAATATATATATATATATTTATTTATATTTATATATATATTAACAAGAATTAAAGAAATTCGTTCTAAGAATTAATATTTATGTCATTTATTAACTGCTAATTAAAAGAGAATGAAAGGTTTTAGTGGATGAGAATATATTACATTTATATGAATTTTTACCCTTAAAAAAAACATATAAACATGTAAATAAATATATATATATATAAAAAAAAAAAAAATTTCTTCTATTGTTGTACAAAAGCGATAAAATATACAATATACAAAAGGAGGGGAAAAAAATCAAATTTAATTGAAAATTGCCATTCTTTCAATCAGAAATTCACGACCCTATATTTAACAATCACAACAATAACAGTAATGTCATAATATTGATATTTTGATCTTCAAAAGAAATACAGATTAAAAGATCAGTAAAAAGTTAACTTACTCTTGATAACCAATCTTCAACAATGACATCAAGGAGAAAAGGGATCCAGATGATTCTGAATATTTGTGTACGAAATTCCAAGTTAAATTTAAAATTTTCCCATAAATCTTGAATCATTTCCATGATCAACACAAGGAAATAATGACAGGTAGTTTTACATTTATAGACGATGTTGTTGTACTTAAGAGCAATCTTTCTTCTGTTGAACTTACTCATAAAACATTTTAAATGATAATAATTCCAATTCCAAAAATTGATCAAGATTTGATAAATCAGGTAAAACCAGAAGGACACCTCTCGCGCAAAATAATTTTGCCTTGTCTCTTGAATATGATTCTTGTCGGGACTATATGTATAAACAAGTATCAAAATGTGCGTAAAATTTCATAAAAAGAATATATATTAACTTCTTACCCTTTGTCTTGCAATTGCTCGTTCATCATTACCATCCTTTCATGATATTCTCGAAAGGTTCGTGCTTCCTCTTCTGCAACGGGGAAATCATCCTCAAAAAACGCGTTTTGACGGCAAATTCCAGATGGCATGTTACTGGTGAGAAATAATTATTAGACGTGTAGTTTATATTAAAGCATCTCACTTTGCAACAATTAAGTAGCTAAGACTACCTCTGAGAAATTTATTCAACTCGAACAAAAAGTTGGCGATAAATCCGCTTGTAGAGTTTGACCCTCGCGTATTTTAAGTAGGTATCGCCTTAACCTACACCAGTCGCTGATAAAAGAGCAAAATTATGATATGAGGAGAATATTGAAGTGGGTATGTTGTTGTTGCTTTTCTTTTGGTTTGTTTTATTTTATTTAAATCCGGTAATCAATAATCAATAATCAATGATCAAACAGGTAAATCAAGTTATTGACACGAAAAAAACTTGTAAAAAATCAAAATTTCACGTGAATTAGCACAAAATCGATCAGGGTGGCTTAGCATCTAAAAAACATAAAAAACCAAAAAAAAAAAAAAAAAAGAGGAATTTTTGTATTAGGAAGTTAAGAAGAATGTCAACAAATTCGATGTTTGGTAATGCACTTCATTTAAATGGAACATTAAATTACAAAATAAATAGAATACAATGATTAGGATTAACAATTTCTAACTCTTTTATAGTAAGACAAATTATACCATGCATATCTCGTATTCAAAATTCATATTTCACACGAACATATACAATGGCCACCCAACCCACTTTATCATCGTCTATATACTCTTCCATTAAATCAAAACAATCAGAAAAGAGGCCAATTATACAAAAAAATTATAGAATAGTCAGTGGTATAGTATTAACACGGTCACCACAAATTCTTCGAGATTTACACCCATTTGAAAAAGAATATTATATGTATCAACAAAAGTTGGAACAGGTACTTTCACCACCCTTTCCGGTAGATTTTTATTTTAAAAAAGGTAGTATAGCAGAAACCAAATGGAAAGCAAGAGATGAACAAAATAAAAAAAATGCTTTAGCAATTTTTAGCAGTTTTAAGGATAATAAAACCAATTCTGAAGATAATAAGGAGAAAGAAAGTATTTTTAAAGGCTATGATGTTGAGGAAGAAGAAATTAAAATTGCTAGTAGAATAACACAAGCCGATTTAAGCAATGATTTAAAATCGTTGGATAGAGCATTACAAAGAACTTTATATCTTATAGTAAAAAAACCAAGGGCTGAACATGATTGGCAATTTCCTCAAGGTGGTGTAAACCAAAAAGAAACGTTAGTTCAAGTAAGATCTTTGTTAATTTATTAAATTAATTAATCAAAATAATCTAATACTTAATATATAATATATTTTATGAATAGGCTGCGTATAGGGAATTAGAAGAGGAGTGTGGTAAAAAGATGGATGTTTGGTTTGTAGGTAGAAGACCGATTGGTTACTATAAATATACCTATCCAAAAGGTTTTGTAAAGGAAGATATAGAAACTAGAGGAGCCATGGTATGACTTATATATTAAAATATTAAAAAGTATGCTTGTATGTCTACTTTGTTTATAATATTAATAAATTTTTTTTTTTAGGTGTTTTTTATGAAAGCTCATATATTTGCGGGACAAGTACAAGTAGATAATGAGGAAATTGTGGACTTTGCTTGGGTTACAAAACAAGAGATGGAAAATTTTGTGTCAAAGCAATATTATGCTGCTGTTAAAGATATGCTTTCGGAATTTTAGAATTAATCGTTATCATATAATGAAAAATTTATTTAATCATGTAAAATTTATATTACCTTCAATTATTAATATGTTGATATTCATTTTCAATTTCATCTTCATGTTTACAATGATATACATTGTATTTGTTCAATAATTCAAATAATTCAGGGAAAACTGTCTTGTGCACATCTGATGCCCAAAGAAAATCTAAAAATAAAAATAAAAAGAAATTTCAACTTCGATTTCAAATTTATGACTTTTCTAAAGAATCTTCTTACCCAAATGTTCGTAAGGTTGAACTTCTTTTACAAACACAGGTTCAGGCAATTGTTTTAAGAGAAATCCAATATCAACTAAACTGTCACTTCCACCATAAAATACTCCAATGGGCGTTTTAATTTGTTTAGTAGGAAAATTATGACAACTATGTCCCATCGATAAATACGGTGGTAATTCGTCATACATTTGAAAATTACTCGCTCTTATAATTTGAAACCAGTGCTAAATAAAAAAAAAACAAATTTAGTTTATTATTTAAATTATTGATTAAATCAATCAAAACATTAAATCATTTATTTACCACTAAACTTTTTACGCTTGTGAAACTATATAGATGATAATATGATACGGCCTTTTGTTCTTTTGTCATATTCATCCCTTTCCAACCAAATAAAAATTTCATACTCTTGTCAAGAAGCTCGGTGAAAATCGGCGGATATAACACTCTTTGCCAAAACATTGTCATCGTCAAAAATGCCTTACGTCCAAAGAAAAGATATACAATGTTAGGCGAAGCTTTGATAAAAGCATCGACAATAGGATTTTGCAAACCTACATAAATCGGGGGAGAAAAATTACAATAGAAAAAAAATATATTTCAAGAAAAAATAATGATTTTTGCTTTACCTTTTGGGTTAGTGGCGGGAGCCAACGAAATAAAGAGATTGACCTTTTTGTTTAATTTTGGGCTAATTGAAAGGGCTGCAAAAGATTGCGCAGTTCCTTGTGAAAATCCAATATATGTAAGTGAGGGGGCACCAGTAGTCTCGAGAATATACTAAAATAAATAAATAAAATTTTATTATACATTATAACATGCCAAAAAAAATTTTCTTTATTTACATCGATTGTATCCGGTAAATCGTAGAGAGCAAATTCATCTATGGAAAATTCCCAGAATCGACTTTCGCTTGGTTTATACTTGACATGTTTCATAGAATACTTATTACCACGAGCGTTTCCAAGCCAAACATCATAACTGAAAAAAAAAATTATATTTAGAATGACATGTAAGTGCATAATTCATCGTAAGATTTCTTCAAAAAAAAAAAAAGTAATTCTGGATATAAACAGTACATACCCAGCATCAGCTAATAGAAAAGGTAATTGTCTTTCTTCTTCCAAATTACAGATCCATACCTCACTACACATCATAAGTCCATGATACAATAATACCACCGGTTTTATCTCTTTTGAAGAACGCGAATAATTTGTTCGAATGGTCGATAGAGAAATTCCACAATCATTGAAAATAGATTTGATATTTGATTCTGTTGATGTTTCATTATCATGAGGTTTTCCCGTCGGTATACGATGAATACCGAGGATATAATTGTCTTGAGTCTTTACAATATGTTCTTCCATAGTATATCCCCTATGATGTTTCAATTTGACAAGTCAAATTAGTTGAATTGTATCAATTGATCAAAAAAAAAAAAAAATGAAAAATGAATTTTTTGAGTCAGACAAATACCAATACTCAACCATTTCTTGAAAATTTTTTGAATATTGGATAACCTTGGCGGGGGGTGTTCGAGTGTCTTGATACCTCATCGAAAATAACCTAATAACAAAATCACAAGTCGTTAATGACTCTATCAGTATCATGAAAAACATATAATGCGTCAAAACGGAAGAACGAGAAGAAAGTAATTTACTCTTGACTTTGTCGTTTAAAAAAAATCAGAACAAAATTAGGCAAACAATATGTAATTATACGAAGTAGACCTTCAAGAAGCAAGGCAAACACACCAATTACCAAGGCCAAGTGGTCACGAAAATTAAGTCGACCTAAAATAGGAAACCCCATTCTTTTATGATAAGAGATGATAGAAAGTAAGTTTTCGTAAAATGATGACATATTATTCGATTCAAGTATCCATAATTCACTGATCGACATCAACTGGTTATCATGAAGTCATACATACCAATTATCCAAAACTAAATGATAAAACGTCATTTTATGTTTCATCCACGAAGACGGAACTATATTGTTAAAGTCGAATGAAAGTCGTCATCATTAAAATCAATAAGGGGCTAATTTCCAGTTTTAATGAATACTACCAACCATGATAATCTTTTGTTTAAACGCTCTTGACTTTGGTCCAATTTTGAAAGATCCACTAAATAGAACCGAAATCATTCAGCGTTCGATAGATGTGAAAAAGTAATCGTAAGTTTGTTATCGTTGCCTTATATATAACTTATCAGTAGAATGCCCAATTATTTGGTTGTTTTGGAATTTTATATACAGTGGGTTTTTGAGGTGTCGACATTTATAAATAAACTTTTTAGCTTATGAAGAGTGTAAATGTGTCACAAAAAATCAATTAAAAACAACAAAAACAATATTGATTTATTTATTTATTTATTTTTTAACAATAATCGGTTATCTAAATCTAACATTTGATGGATTCAAAGCCAAGTTATCTTTATTATCATAACCATTTCAACGATTCAATAGTTTCATTATTAAAAACCCGACTAAAGAGAAAGAAAATAAGGGTGACCGAACTTTTTTTCCAACAAAAATCAAATTAATATATATACATTATTTAAACCTCGCGTATCACGAAGCAACTTCTTAATACAAAAAAGAAAAGCCATAAACAATGGGAAATGATTTTTTGATATGGAAACCATTTTATTCATTTATCACTACTTCCTTTGAGAAGAAAAGGTAACCGAATAAATCGGAAGGAAAACTTCAAAAAGGAACGTACTGCGAAATACCTTTCTCCCTTCACGGCAGGGAGCAATACACTAATGTGTAAGGGTATAAACGCCCAGTTAAGCAAAGCAACTAGAAAGCGAATATACGGTCAACATAAGTTTATAGTCTCCGTCCTTTGCAATAATATGACATTAACAATCTCTTGGAGCAACTTTAAATGAGAAATAGCCATTCCTCATACTTTGAGTAAACTTCGTTGTGTTAGTCAATAACTTTTAAATTTCATTTCTTAAAGGATCTCTTGCAAAAATGCATCTGAATATTACGATAACTTTGCCTTAACAATCTGTTGTTAGCAATAACTTTAACCAATATCAAAAGACCATCCATAACTATTTCTTTCATGTTTAAAGTATTGGTTGTTAACACTTTTTTTTTTTTAAAGATCCCATCAGATGGGAACATATACTGTATTTTCTTGATTCCTTAAAATTGAATAACACATTCCAATTATTCCACCAGTTGAAATAAAAATTTGCGCATAACCATCCATACCAGACTGAACGAGATTTCACAAACGTAAACCTTTTTTTTTTGTAGTTCTTGAATTGTCATGTGTAGAATCAAAGTAACAGTACCTTCCACGAGACGTCTAAGATACGCATTATAAAGACTAATAGTCAGTGCTGTACATTTTCTATGTCCCGAGCAATTTGATGATCCCAATGTCCCGGAACTTGTCACCGAGTATAGTGCTGGTCAATCTAGTCATAAAATTTCACAAATTACAAAAATTCATAAGATGATACTATGAATAATGGCTCTTTTAATTTTGGAACCTAAAATCAAGTAACTTCTGGTAGCAGCAAGTTCTTGGAAACAAAGTTGCGATAATTCGCTTTATTTTATGGATGAAAAAAATGCTATAGTCTGACGTTTTACGCGCCTATGGTCACATGATGATGCGATTGTTACACGAACAATTTATAACAAATAATCCTTATTAGATGTTGGATTTCATTATGTTAGAATAAGTAAAATCAAAAAATTGAGCACTACGGCAATTAAAAAAATAGAATCGTGATTTATCAATAAATAAAATTACTTTACATTAATAAAATTCTCTATGAATTAAGGTTCTCATCCCTAATATCAAATCACCAAAAAAAATTAAATTACCCCTATTACCCCTCTAAAACTTAATTCCCTTTTAAATAGGAGTCATTTTGTTATTTTTAATACTTTCTGGTAATCGTAATTGGTAATCTATAATAAATGTTTTTAAAATTAGTATGAACTTAAATACAATAAAAAACAAAATGGTCGATTATATTTTTACCTCCGTTTTGTGTGATATATCTAACCCAAGGTAAAGCTTGGTAACCACTTTTTTCAACAATTTTTAAATAGCGTACTTGAATACCTGAAGTTGTAAAATATGGTATTTCAAATTTTACTCCAATAGGAGGTTTTTTGTCGGGATCATCAACTATTACATTTTTTTTTTTTTTTTAATAAATTCAAATATTTGAGAATGTAAATCATTTAAGATAATACTTTTTAATGTAAAGTCTTATATTTACCATTTTTAACGGAAGGTAACCCAAAATGCGCTCTCATTAAAAATTCTTTTCCACCCTGAAACTGTTTAATTTTCCATACAAGGCATGATTTTTCTGGAGCGTAATGAACTGATCCAATACTACTCTATATAGAATAATTTAAAGAAAAAAGTTTTAATAATAATTTAAATTAATAAATTTAATAAATATACTCACTCTAAATTTCGGAGAATCGGCGTCATCGGGAACAGGAACATGTATTTCAACATTATTTGCTGTAGAACGTCTTTTAAATTGAGCCTTGGCTTTAATCATATATTCTATTCTAGAACCAGTATAACTTTCTACAAGGGCTTCAACCCAAATCAAGGGCTTAACCTAATCGATAAAATATCCCATAAGTTACGTTCTTCAAAGTTTTTTTATTTTTTTTTTTAGAAAACTTTTAACATTACCTGCGTGTTCAAGCGATAACTCATTAATTCAAATTCACCATCCGGTGGTATAAAAGAAATAGTACGATCATTTTCAAATCTGGATAATCTAACACATTGATGAAATTTAACATCTTCCATTTCAATAGCTTTTCCCCTTGAAGCAGAACGCCCGGTACTTTCAAACATAACTTTATCATTTAATCCTAATCTTAATTCTGGCATGCCACTTAAATAACATTTCATCTTAATCACTCCAAGTATTTCACTACGTAATACATTTCCATTTGCATTCACTAATAAATTTACTGATTCAATTACATCTAAAAATACTTCATTTTTCTTATATTTTATTCCTTCTGATCTCCATGATACTGCATTTGTAACCGCCATTGGTGGTCTCACTTGAATTTCTAATTTATGTGATTCTTGGGTTATATACCTTTTATAAATCAACCAAACTCTATTAGTCTCTTGTTTATTCCTTTTTTTAAAATAAATTATTGCTTACTCTTGTAATATTTTTGTTTCGGTTGTTTGTGGATATCCAAAGTCCATCATTTCATCCAAAAGTTCATAAATAATTACAAAATTATCCCTAATTGATTCTTCTTCAAGTTCCTTAAAATATTCTGTAAAAACCTATTATAATTATTTAAAAAAAAAAAATTAAACATAAATAAAAAAAAAATGTTTAATGAGAATTATCTGATGATTTACCTCCGTCAATTTATGAAGGAATAAAAGAATAGTTGTAGCATTTGAATTCTTCTTTGTTAAAGCCAACACTGTTCAGAATAAAAGATATGAAATTTTGTGAAGGAAAATAAATAAAATAAATATTATTATAATCATGTCTGAATACACATTATTCGTTCATTCATTTGTTAAGAAATTTCATTATTCATATGATTTTGGATTGAATTAGTAAATTGTTTCGTTATTAGGATTCACATCCAGAAAAAGGTTCCAATTCAACCCTTATGAAATATAAGAATGTGTCTTAAAACAGATCTGAATATATTGACTTTTTTACGATAAAGGATACAGTACAAATTATTATGTCGAATATATAGGTAATTTACGCCTTCATGCGTAAAGCAAGGAGTTGGTGCTGCTTGTTCTTCTTCAGCTTCTAGCACAAGTGGCATAAATTTCTCAACAGCAGACATGGGTATATCACCACGATAATTTCGCGATATAAGAACTTTTCCTTTAAGATCTAACGCAAATATAGCTGAAGCCATCTTTTAAATGTTTTTAAAAAAAAAAATTTCAAATTTCGAGTCTCAAAAAATTAAGGTTTTTATTGAAATCGAAAAATTTCAATCTAGAATTTGGTTGAATATAATTGGATGATCATCGTAAAGGTTAATGCTTAAACTGCTTAAACATGAATAAATTACAACGACGTAAAAATCCTAATAATACCAACGAAAAGAAATCATTAAAATCATGTGAAAAGAATGAGAATTTTGAAGAAAAGGAGTCATTAAAATCATTTACTAATCAAAATTTGTTATTAAGTTTATTGATTTTATTCAGGATAATAAATGCTTTATGTACAAAGACATATTTCAATCCTGATGAATATTGGCAATCAGTTGAAGTTGGTCATTATATGGTTTTTGGATATCCTAAACTGTTCTAAATTTCTTTAATTCTTGTTTTGTAATAATTATATTATTTCTTAATAAAAAATCTTACGTATGGATATTTGACTTGGGAATGGAAAGAAAAGGTTAGAAGTATTGCTCACCCTCTATTATTCGCAATACTTTATGAAAGTTTGGCATTTTTCGGTCTCGACAAAGGATATATACTTGTAATATCACCATACATAAATTGAATTTCTTGATATTCAAATGATACAACTCGAGGCATATATATACTTATAAATTGCATTTATAACTAGATATATGCTCCAAGGATTTTTCAAGCAATATTTGCAGCCATTGGAGATTTATATACTTATCGATTAGCGAGGAAATTATTTAACGATCCAACAGCAAATTGGACTGTATCCTTATTTACCTACCTAATATTAAATCATCCATCCTAAATTCTATTATATTACCCTATCAACATAACGCGTAATTTTTTTATTAGCTATTTTGTTCTATTATTTCTTGGTTCAATTTCTTTTGTTCAATAAGAACGTTATCTAATAGTATTGAAACGGTACTTACCATTATAGCATTATATTATTGGCCATGGCCCACTTTTTCAAATTTAATAAGTTGGAATGACCGAATAAAGTAATTACCTATGAGGCAATCATGATCGCGTATGTTAATAATAATTACTAAATTAATTTATATATATTTATATAATGCAGGATGTTACGCGTTTCACTAAGTTTAGCAGCGGTTTGTTGTATTCTTCGCCCAACTAATGCTATTATCTGGGGATTCCTTGGCATACATTTATTATGGAAAACAAAAGATCATCTTACTTCCATTATCTTAAACACCCTGTTTATAACGTAAGTTAAAATGACCGTACTCTGAAGTCAAAATAAATCTAATTTGTTGTAATTATAATATTTTAGGATTCTTTCAATTTTGGCGATGACCTTAACTGACTATACATTTTATGGTGAAATTGTTTTTGTACCTATGAAATTTTTATATGTTAACGTGGTACAATCTATTTCATTGTTTTATGGTTCACATCCTTGGCATTGGTATTTATCACAGGGGATACCATTCATTACCACCACATTAATGCCATTCGTACTCAAAGGCATATATGACTTGATCAACAACCGTCACCTTGCTCATCAACAATCCATTAAAACATTAATATGGTTAATGGCCTTTGTAATATTTTGTTATAGTTTATTAAGTCATAAAGAATTCCGGTTTATATATCCTTTGTTACCTATAATGATAATTTGTGCGGGATATTGTTTACAAGACATTTCTTTAAAATATCAAAAGAAAATAAGATTTGTAGTGATTTTTTTGGTACTTACCAATGTACCAGTAGCTTATTACACTAATTTCGTACATCAACGTGGTGTTGTGGATGTTTTGAATTATCTAAGAAATGAAGCTGAATTGGGAAAAGTTCGTGAAATTGGATTTTTGATGCCTTGCCATTCTACCCCATATTATAGCAATCTACATTTTAATATATCTATGTTTTACTTATCTTGTGATCCTCCCTTGAATAGGTCAGATATAATTTTATTTAGCTTATGACGCGGGTGTTTTTTATTTAAAAAAAAAAATTCATTATGATTTTTTATTATTTTTTGTAGGGATCAAGTTAATTATGTTGATGAGGCTGATCAATTTTATGCAAATCCACATGAATTTCTCATAAAAAATTTTCACTCAATATCATCATCATCTGAAAAATCTACTGATTCAAAACTTCGTAAATGGCCAAATTATTTGGTAATTTTCGAAGCTTTATTAAATGATTTAACTCCCTTTTTAAAAGATTCCAATTATAAAGAAGTAAGTCACCTTGATATTTAAAGCAAAAAAACATTCCTTTTATATTAATATAATTCTTTTTTATTTAGTGTGCAAGGTTTTTTAATTCACATTTTATTGATGATTGGAGAAGAAAAGGTGATGTGATCGTTTTTTGTAAAAATTAAGTATTTAAATAAAAATAATATATAAAATGTGTATTCATATATACAAAAGATGAAATCAAATCACAAAAAGAAAATTTTATAGTATTCATATTATTTATCAATCATATTAGAAAATTTAAATATTATAAAATATGTATTTCTAGTAGTAATTAATTATTTGAAAATTTATTTTTATATTTTTATTATATATTTTATATATTTAAATTTTAATTTATTATACTGGTATTTTAATTATATATGTTATAATTTTCTTATTAATTCAAATAAAAATGTAGTTTAAAATTAAAGTTAATATATATAAATGAAAAAAATGATATCTAAATATTAAAAGATTCAATTTATATATTTTTAATGGATAATGATACAAATGATATAAATAAAATGATATTTATATATCAAAGGAGAGTAATAAAAGATTAAAATGAATTAAACAAGCTAAAAAAAACTTAATTTTTCATCAATATTTTTCATAAATAATGTAAAATTTAAATAATATTTCTAATAAAGGTTTAATTAATTAATATCAGTATAAATTTTATTATAAAAATTATTATTAATAAATTTTATTAAATATTTGTATTATTATAATTATTATAATTATTATTTATTACTATTACTATTATTATTATTATTATTAAATTATCATTATTAAGATGGTTAATATTACATTATTTTTAATTCTAATTCCTTTATTTTAAGCTGATACTTTAGCAGTGATGGCCAGTGACCCAAATGACCTCAAATGACTCAAATGACTAATCACGTGTCATTTGGGTCATTTTGACACCAAATGACAAATGATACGGTCATTTTCTGAACTAATCATTTTTTCACATTTTATGTATAAATCAGGTAATTACATTGTTCGATAATTTTCAACATATTTATTAAACGCGCATTTTTAACGAACTAAATTTAAAAATTATAAAAAATTATAATTCAAATTTCTTTTCTATTTGTAATTTACTATTTTAAATTAATTATTTTTTATATTTAATAAATTATAAATAAATTGTAAATAAATAATATGAAAACTTAATTGATATAAGTTCAAACAATTTTTTATTAAAATGATATTATTACTGGTATTTCTAATCTAACCTAAATTAGTCAATATATTCACAAATTTAGGCAATTCAAATCTATTATTGAAAATGCTACTAAGATGCCATTTTGCAAGCAGATCATCAGCTAGATGAATAGTACGATCTATAGCTATAAAAGCTGATAGATTTACCTCATCACTATCTGAAAACTCTTCCTCACCAATCATACCCATCCAATTTTGAATTACACATACTCATTGTTCTGTTGAATCAATGGTATCATTGTCATTACATTTAAAATCAGGTTTATGAAATTGTGTAAAGGATTCTTCTTCACCACCGATTGTTATATCATCAGCCATCTCATTATCATCATCTTCTTTCTCAAAAGTTTCAGAAATATCTGAAACATCAGAAATTTCATAAAGTTGTATAGAGTCGCTATATGATTTTATTTATAACTTTTTTCTGATTTTTCAACTTCAAATTTTTTTCTTTTATGCAAAATGTCACTCTTTAATTGACTCATTTCAAGCACTTTTTTATGCTTTTAAATTAAATTAAAATATTTAATAATATATCAAAAAAGTAATAAATCAATAAAAGTCTAAAT